GAGAGATATGTAAAGGAATTAAGATATAGTTATTATTTATTTACTTTTTTTTTTGTCTTTTTTTTTGTCTTTTGTCATACCATGTCGCTTTTCCTTAAAGGCTGAGTAGTTCCTTCTTTGACTGGAATGGATGGTAACAGCAGGGAGAGAGATATGTAAAGGAATTAAGATATAGTTATTATTTATTTACTTTTTTTTTTTTGTCTTTTTGAGACGGGGTCTCGCTATACAGTTCAAGCTGGCCTTGAGCTCACTTTGTAGCCTAGGCTGGTCTGGAACTCCTAACGATCCTCCTGCCTCAGCCTCCCGAGTGCTGGGATTACAGGCATGTGCCACCATGCCCAGCTGTTTACTTCTTTGTGATGCTGGGGAATGAGCCCACAATCTTCCCACTGAGTTATAGCCCCCAACGTTTATTATTTTGAGACAGGGTAGAAGTCACTAAGTTGCCCAGGCTGGGGTCCAGCTTGGTGATCCCTCTTCCTTGGCCTCCCAGAGTACTGAGATTCTAAGCATTTGCCATCACACCCAACTGAGGTGGACTGAGGTTCCCTCGAAAAACAAGTTCTAGGATGACTTTAGAGACACCCCTTAAAGATGACCCCATTGTACCGTAGAGTTTGCATTAAGATTTGCTCCAGAAGATTCAATAGGGCTCATTTTCAGGGGATGTCTTCTTTTCTAAAATCATGCTAGAACTTGTTTTCAAGTAGGACTTCTTTTTTTTATACTGGGAATCAAACTTAGAACCTTATGCTTGCCAGGCAGGGACTTGTGCTGCTGAGCTATATCCCTGGCCCTAGGACTTATTCTTGAGACACAGTAGTTAAAGGATGTGGACTTGGAATGTCTCTGCTTAAATCCAGATACACAACCTACCACTATGTCACGGCGCTAATCCATCCCACTCAACCCAACGAGTATAGTTGTGAGAGTAGAATGCAGTACCATGTGTCAATATGCCTTATAAACTGTGAGGCCCAGAATCCATGCTTGTGCCAGTACTTGAATGAGTAGAAGACTTTTAATAGGGTATTGCATGTTAAGCCACAGGTAAGGCTTGGATGCAGCAAGACAGGTTGATGGTGACCTTGCCTCTTTCTTTTCCTTCCAGTCTTCGAGCAGTGACAGTGGCGGGAGCAGCAGCAGCAGCACCAGCATCCACAGTCCAGACCGGGCCAGTGGGCCAGAAAGCGGCTTAAGCCAGGTCATCCCCGGATCCAGCCCCAACACCCCTCAGCCCATGCCCGAGCAGTCTGCCCTGTGCCAAGGCCCTTACTTCCACATCAACCAGACCCTGAAGGAGGCCCACTTTCACAGCCTACAGCAGCGAGGACGGCCTCTAACATGATGCACCGGAAGTTTCTTGCCTTCTGTGAAGGGACAGTGCTGTGCAGATTTGATACTTCAACTTACGATTTGTTTTGAAAAATTGCACACAAAAAAACCCTGCCTGTTGGCTTTTCAGTCTATTTGAAATAACACGTTAACAGGCAATTGTTTACTTGTGGTTCTGCTGCACTATTGCAATTTCAAAGGGGCTTTGAAGCAATTTTTTATAGGATTCTTTTGAGGGATGGTACCAAATTCATGTCAAGGTAGTGGTGTGAGAAAATTTCATCTGTGTGTCGCATCCATAGTGTGTCCAATTCAGACTGATTTCCCAATCTGTCAATTAGAAGTTCTACTTTATGTAAAAGGGTCTTTTAAAAATGTGGGATCTTCAATTTTTTTAATTCAATAAACTAGTGAAGAGTATCTAGTTTCCATGAGAAAAAATAAATTTTTTCCAAAAGATAGGAAGCTTGATTCAGTCTTGCACTGAAATTAATTGCCATACTACCTCTTAGAATATAGACATCCTATGGAAAGTACACTGTCTGTTTTAACAGAACAATCAGATTCAATTTACTGTGGAAGTGAAGCACCCTCTCTACTGATGGTCTCCACTCTTTGTTATATATTTGTACTTCCAGGGAAAATGTCCTTCAGACTCTTGTGTAGCCAGATAACTTCTGTATCACTTTTCCTCCAGAGTCTGCACCTCAGACTTTACTAGAAAATACTGCACAGTTCTGCAAGTCAAGGAATATGTGACAACTTTTGTCTTACGTATAAGCCTGTCTGTTATATCAGCAGCTCATGTGATCTCACATCATTCCATCTTATAGTGTCAATATGCAGATAAAGCATAAGCTAGCTGAACTGATGTCCAAAGTAACAAATAATGAAACTACTGGGTGAGGATTAGCTTTGTTTAAAGTCACCCTTAACAGGACTAGGGGACCACATTCCATCACTAACTCTGGAATGAGAATGCTTAGAAATAAATGAGCAGAGGCATCTTCCAGAGAAACAATACAGTAGTATTTATTTAAGGAGACGGGCATGCTCCTGTGTTATTTTGTCATACTTGAGAGCCAGCTGAGTTTGAATAATGAAGGTGCGGATGTTTCGTCTTCCTCACTGGCGAGCTGTCTGAAGAGGGAGCCAGGCTGCATGGGGTCACCTGCTCTGGAGAGTGCCGGGGGGTCAACCTGCCATTGGATGTAGAGGAAGTGCCTTAGAGTCCTCCTGAAGCCTCTGCCTGTTCCCCTTCTGCTCCCCCTGCACTGCAGTCCATGCCCCTCCAATGGGAAGCCACACTGCACACACAGCAGAGCTGAGATGGTTGGATGGCTCTAGTAAGAAACCTCTGCTGTTTGTCAGGGTTGAAAAGGATGGGAACAGCATGGGGTTTTATCTGATAGAACTCGAACCTTGAGAACAAAAACTGTTCCAGAAACAGTAACCTTATGCATCTCCTTTCCACAGTCTGTTCCACTAATAGGGATAGAACTTAAAGGCCAGTAGCACGATGTGGAAACTAGTGTTACGGGAAAAAGGTACAGCATAGGCCACACTTAAGGAGTGTGAATTTTTGGCAAAGAGCTTTTTAACATTTTTTAAAAAATTCTTTACTGTCTCCTAGATTTAAAAGCCAGATGTTTGACAAGAATTTTGGATCTTAATGGGTTTAATGGCAGGGAATATGGAAAGGATATATTGCTAATATTTTGTCTAACAATAAAAGAAAGAACAACTGAATGCTGTAAGAAGACAAGCTGAGCTCTCAAACAGATGTGTCTACCACAAAACTCAGAAACCCAGGACTCCTTCAGGCTCAATGGATGGCATCCTACTGAAATAAAATATGTATTAACAAGAAAATGTAACAATAGAGGAAGCAAACTCATTTATTTCCCACACAACTAAAAGATATGGAAGATGAAACCATCACCAGGACAAAAGGATTTTCTCCAAATTCGTACAATTCTGCTGGGTTGGCAGTTATCCTTATTACTCTACTTAAGAAACCATCTTCATCCTGTTTGCACATTTTCTACAGCCTTGCAGCCTGGGATACATTTCTATTATAACGCTATTTGGTAGTGTCAACGGGCATATGTTAAATCTTTTGGTTCAAGCTAGTAAAACCTTGTATTTCTCTATTGCGCCGCCATTAAAAGCAGCATTAGTGCATTCTGTCAGTTGGTTCTTTCTCAGTTATTTCACAGGGAGTTGACCAGGTGGGGTGGGACAGGATCAGCAGAGAAGAACTTTTCTGGGCTTTTGTTTCAAGGCCCCTGCTAGTTGACTTAGCCTTCCGCGTGCTCATCATGCTCAGTGGAAGCAGGCCAAACCTCCAAGAGGAGAGGAGGAATTTCAGTGGCACGAAGGGGCAACCTTGGGGCCCAGTGAAACGTATCAGGATCTGACTCACCAGATCTGACTCGAGGCCAGTGGTAGTATGTTGTGGGCTTCCTAGGAGTGGAACTTACTGCTCCAGAGGGTGAAAGTAGGTCTCTGTACCAGTTACCAGTCCAAACAGAACCTGACGTACAACAGCAAGCAGAGGAAAATGCAGGATTTTACTGGTAGGGTCAAATAATTGGTTCTCTAAGAGCGAACATCACCATTTTATCTGTAACCATCATTTTTAGTGTGCCACTACTTCAAAAGTACTTTTTGTCCCTGCCATGGATGAGAATCTCATGGCCATGTTCTTGTTCTGAGGTTTGTGTGAAACTGTTAATCCTTACATACAGGGGCTGGGGATGTAGCTCAGTGGCACAGTGCCTACCTGGTAAGTGCAAGGTCCCGAGTTCAATTCCCTATACCTACCAAACAAACAAAAACAAACAAAAAGCCCCAAAACTACAGCTTTGGAATCCTTACCTATGATTTAAGAGGCTGGATCACAGCTACCCCAGTGTGTAGAATTTTATCTCATCCTCTTTCGGCCTTTGGAACTCTACTCAATTACTTATGTATTGTACTAATCCAGTTATTGTATCTCTTCTGGAATCTCCAATTTGGTCTCTTCCCAGTGCAGATGGAGACGCTCCCTGCTCACGAGGAAAATTGCCCTTCACATCTAGCATTTGGGGCTTTTTTTTCGTGGGCTGGTGATATGCATTATGGTCCTCTCTCAAAATGCTGGTCAGCGTCAGGAGGCCACAGCTCCAGGGCAGCCCTGCACTCATGAGAGGAAACCACCCACCCTCCATAGTGGACACTGGTGTTAGGCTGGGGTCAGGTTCAGCCAGCACTGCATCCTGGGTACTAAGTGATGAGCAGGTTCACTGTGAAATGTGAGCCTTCGGCACTTCATTCACACCGAGAACTTACAGAAAAATCTGCTGCACCAGATTAAAGGTTGCTGTTGAGGTATGGCATGAACATACCCAGGTCAAAGGGGTCAATGAGCACTTCCAGGTGGGCAGTCACACTCATTTCCGAGAAAAGGATTAGCTTCATCCTTCTCCACACTTTTTTTTAGGGTGAAAAATCAATTGTACGGTTTTCCTACCTATAGAAATCCTGGAAGTAGATGTGATGTCTAAGTCAAGACCACTCCTTCATCTTCTGTTTTTAGGGGAAGCACTAAGAGCTCAAATTATACTCAACTGCTACAAGATGGACCTACAGAGGAATGAAGTTCTGCCTCCTTTGCTTGACCATGAAATGTACCCAGCAGGTGGCTACCACTTCACTGATGATGGGGTCATGTCTACACTGTACAGTGAAAGTACTGTAAACTGGACTTGACCCTCACAGTCTAGCACCAGAGTTCCCTGTAGAGGATGGGTGGTTCCCCTCACGATTGCAGGGCTGCCCTGGAACTGTGTGGCCTGACGCTTACCACCATTTTGAGAGGATCATAATGCGTATCGCCAGCCCACGAAAAGCCCCAAATGCAAGATGGGAAGGGTAGTTTTCCTTGTGAGCAGGGAGTGTCTCTATCTGCACTGGGAAGAGACCAAGCTGGAGATACCAGAAGAGATACAGTACCTGGAGTCTGGCTTGCTGTGACCACTCTTCATCTCCTGCTTGGTCGTGAGGACAATGCTGAGGTAGCGCAGGTCATAGAGGAGCTGCAGCACCCAATTCTGGGTCAGTGGAAATGCACCTTCTTTCTGCAAGTGAGTCCCCGACCCAGGGACAGATGGCTCATTATATGGCACAGTGACCAACCGCGGGTTCTGTACAGCTTGGTGTTTCCCAAGCAGGTTTAATCTCATAACCACAGTGCACACTAGAAACTGGGTGATAAAGCTAAAAACCTAAGCAGGAAAGAGACCCAGCCCTTAAAACAAACAGGCCTCAGTGCTACAGATGGCATTTCTGCAAACCAGGGCTTTGTGCATGAAGGAGGGGTCTAGTGAGGAACCCCAGCAGAGCACTTAACTGACTTTGTGCTGCTTCAGGACCGCTCCTGTCTTCCACATGTTTTTAGTGGAATGGGAAACAGAGGCTGGGAGACCAGACTCCCCTCAAGTATTGCCCTGCGCCACAGCTATGCTGAGCAGCTGCCCTCCTCGAAGCACCCCTGCTGGGGATGAGTGGGGAGGTCTATGTGTTAAATGGGAGGAAACAAGCGGTAGACTTTATTTACTGGGCACATCTGATCCTGAGGAAATGCTAGGTTCATGATTTGCCCGAAGTGCAGTGAGCAGGTGGCAGTGCCAGGGCGGCAGCGGGGCCTTTCTCTGTGAAAGCTGTTATCCGGCTCACTGGTCCTGAGCGTCCTTCTTCAGGGAGACTGGTAGGACCCAGGAGAACAGGTGTGAACCACACAGCTGAAAGCCAGCCCGAATATAAAAGAACGTATTTACAGGCCCCAATACCTGGGCTGGGTGACCCTTAACACTCTGGACCTTTGATGTGAACTGCCAACACTCTTTGTTACTAGAGAGAGCACATTCAAACACCTACCTTCGTCTGCTTTCCTTCTGAAAGTTTCTCATAAGCAGTGACTACTTGAACCATGCAGCTTTTCAGCATCTCCTGCAGTGTCACCTTTGGCAGCTTGTGGCCTCCGACCCGATTTAAGTCCTCACGTAAGCTACACAGGAAGGACTGTATGTACCAGGATGGCTGAAAGAACAAAGGAATGTCAGGTTGCCAGCTTACACCCACTAAATGATACACAGCAAAAGTGGGCCCATTTATCCTTCCAAGGCATGCATGCCAGGACCTTGGCCTCTCCACTCAAGCATCTCCCAGATACACAGCCTCTGTGAAGTCCTCCCTTCCTTGGTCTGAGGTCCACCAGGCAGATGGCGCTGTAAATGCTGCTGTCTGCACTTCAGGGTAGGTGGTTCTCTCATTGGCACAGAGCCCATGCTACCAAGGAATCATCAGCTACTTGTAAAGCAGTCTTTGATGTAGGTGGTCTCATACCCATGTGCCCCCATCCCACAGTCCTGCTGTACACATTCTTTGCAACTACCCCACAGAAGCTGCATGTCGAGTGATTTTCTCAGATTGTTTTGCTTCCCCCATGGGAAGTCTCTCCCGTCTTCTTAGCAGGTCCGTGTGACAGTGGGATGTGCTCACCTGGGAAGGGAGTCGGATCTTGGACGTCATGCTGCTTCCAGATTCAGTCTCCTCCTGAATTTCTAGTTCCTCCCAGTTTGTGGCTGTGGCTAGGACTGAGCCCGCACCATCTAAATCTAATGACTGGGTGAATCCATGAGTCAGAACCTGGTGATAAAAATCGAATACCCACATAAGTTCTTCATATCACTTGTAGATTAAAACTACCAGAACAATGTTCAGAGCATACTAAGCTGCTGAGGTCGTGTGTGGGGTGGTGAGGAGGCGCCACCACGCTTTTGGCCAATGATCACTATTAATAAGGGAAAGAGAGTTGCTATACACCTTAGTAAGTCAAACACCTCATGTGTGACGAATGGAGAGTACAGTGACTGTACTTAATTAAGAAAGGAGACAGTCTTGCTGTGTCAGTAAATTGCCCAGCCTGGGTTTGAACTTATGATTCTCCTGCCTCAGCCTCTCAGATTGCCAGGGTTACAGGCAAACAACACCATACCTTGTGAGAGAACTTGCATTGCCATCTGGCCATCCAGTTTGACCTTCAGTTTGGAATCCAAGGCAGTACAGAAGTTCTGGACACAAGGACTAATAGCATGGGCTTTCGTGGAGAGGCCACTACTGGCTAAATGGGGTCGGTTTGCCACGCTGACCCAGGCAGCACCAGAAGGCAGGTCAGTGGGACTGTCATGCCACAGGAAGACAGACATGCTCTGCCCAAAGAGAATGTGCTTATTTGATGTGGAACTGCTGGTGCTGTTCTCAAGTTCCTGCAGAGCTGGGACCAGGAGCTCTTAGGAGCTACTGGAGATGGATTCAAAGCCTTCTTTTGTCAGAGTCTGAAAGAGAATAAGAGGAGGGGTGTAATCCTTGTTCTTTAATGAAATTTCAAAATAACAGTACCAAGTGGCAAGTTCCTACAACATTCAGAGCAGAGAATCAAAGACACCACCACTGATGGCCATGGGCTTGTTCCAGGCCACCTAAGTGAGGTATGTTTTTCAGGTCAAGATTCT